AACTGGCATCATATGGCCCGCTGTCGCGCGGCTTCGCGCGCTGACGCGCGGTACCGCAGGCTGGGGCGCTGGGCTGGGCGTTGCTGCCGCTATGTGCGGACAGCACGGCCTAAGGCCGACCCTTGCCGTCCGTTCGGCACTAACTCCCGAACATTCTGACTTCACTGAATATGATATGACTCAACATGAACATAATCATCAAAATGACTTAAAAATATAACTTTTGCACGATCAACATGAAAGGGGCCGTGGCGAGCGCGCCTTGCGTGTGCGTGCCGGTACGATACTCGCCGTGCGGTACTCCGTCAATTGCCGTGCGATGACTAAGGAAGGCTTATGGGAAAATTAAGGGGATACTTGCTACTGAAGAAGGATAATATATGGCTGATCGTCTCTTATGGGAAAAATGGAAAATTTCCATCCAAACTCATGCTTATATACTTAGTGGCCGTGGGATGGTGATGACGTAGTGAATGCGTTGCCTCTTAGGCCCTTGCCAATTGCCCTCTTAAGGAACAATTTAGGGTGACTAATTATCTTCTCTTAATGCCACGTGCCAAGCTTAATATTGAAGAGAAAATTGGTTCCTTACTACTTAGGAAAGAATTACCAAATGAGGAATTTTATAATAAACCGTACGGCTTTTGCTACTCTTAGGAGGATTTAGCACGGTTTTTGGGTTTAGCTTAAGGATTAATGCTAATTAATCATCTTTTATGTCTAATTATTTAATTAAACATAATGCTTAATTACCAAAATTATTCCGAACGTAAACGGTACGTCGAAAATAAATTTCGGTAATCTCGACTGAAATTAATTTCTTTTGAAAATAATAATCGATAACATTATTATATCGGAATCAAAACATAATTTATACTGACAAAATGACGGGATATTACAAGAGGTATGCTGTAAAAGCTATGTTTTGCAGATTCTATCAATTCCATTTTGATCTGGCAATCATGTTTCGGTCAAAGTACATATGTTTGCAGTTTATTTATAATGCAATACATACTCCATGTCTTATATTGAGGTAGTGTGGTTCGAAGAGTTTCGGACAGAAAGATCACCTACCGGTTTCTTATAAGACTAAACTATTCATTCACAGTCTAGACTGGCAGTGAGACCCCACTTGGAAAAAGACTGTAGTGTATTCTCGATTCAGTTGGTCTTTGACTGAAGGATTACACTAGCACTTATCTTAAGTGTTGAACAGGACTACGGAAGGATACAGATATGAGACTCACTGACCGTTGTCGTAACCTAGACCTTTAGTGATTGATGCATTCTCTTAAGCTGTAATATAATATAAAATAGGCATATATTTTT